AAAAAAAAAAAAAAAAAATTAAAGAGCCAACTGATGATGTGTGTGATTAAGAAAATAAATACTTTCAATTACGATATCTTTATTTAATAATAATATTTGCTATAAAATTAAGAAAAATCTAGGCTTCATAGATACACACACCATCTACACACAGGTATATATATATTACACGAAAGAGAAATAAGTTGGGCTCAAGATACATAACTTTGTTTAGAAAAGAAAATTCATATAAATCTACTTATATTTGGTATTTAGTTCAACAAATTACATGTCCATGTGTAACTTTCTGTTGGAAATACTAGTTGGCCCGACGGCTGTGCACGCACAGCCGGCCCTAGTCCAATGTATAATTATAACTAATATTTAGGGAAATTTAACAAATACATATACGTACTTTTTATGAATACTAATAATATGTGGTCTAACGTTGCATTGTGTTACAACTGTTTTGATGTTGATATGTTTTTTTTTCTTTGATGTTACAACTGTTTTGATGTTGATATGTTGAACCAACCTTTGTTGATGTGAAAATGTGTACAACTGTGGTAACTTGTGAAATAGAAGGCTATTAGAACATTATTCACCATTGCAATTGTTACGAAGAAATAACATAGAATCGATTAAAATAAGTCTACAATTTTTGCTCCAAAATAAACCCAAAGAGTTGATCATCTGCATAATAGTCTGACACCTGAGGTCCCTACACACTAAAGCTGTTTAGACGAAAGAAATTATCATTATGGGGATAAAGGATCACTGGGAGAATACCTGGAAAAATACATACCACAAGAAAGAAAAATTCATTAAATCATTTTAAACAGAAGTATTCTACTAATGATAAGAAAACTTCATGAAATCATTTTAAACAGAAGAATTCTACTAATCATATAGTAGACCAAAGAAAGTAATTTGCCTCCAATGAAAACTTCAAATGATAAGAAAAATCAACAGTCGAAAATGAACCTACCTGCAAATTAGTCGGCATACATTTCATCATGTTAATCAAAAATCAAGAGTCGAGAGTACGTGAACTTGACCCCATCTGCTTCGCACGCCGACTTCACCGTTCGATCAGCCTGCGTCACCGCCTCATCTACAATGACCAGATTAGCCACTTTATTCTTCTACAAAATCGTGGTTGAGAAATCCTGACCACCTTTCATGTTCAAAGCAATAAAAGGATTCAGATTGTCGGAGTTGATCATTTGAACCAAATAACAAAGACAAAAAAGAGATTGAGCGAGAAAAGAAAAAAAGAGAAAAACATAACTACGATCCATTTCAAGCATAGTAGTTCTAAGTTCCGAGTGGGATATATCCAAATAATTCCACATCCTTCCCATTACTACAACTTCCGAATAAGCTAAACACAACCACAAATTCAACAATGATATTTATTCCAACAAGTTTGAAAACACAACTTAAATTAACGAACAGGAAGGATAAAAATACAACGAATACAACGAAAAGATTATACGAACCTCCAGCAGGAAAAAATGGAGGATCTCTTCACAGATCTGACTGAGACCTCAAGAAAGGGACTTTTGTAGGAAAGTGTTCACATAAGTTCTGTCAAGTAAATAAATGTTGAAAACCCTTTAACACTCTTCACCACAATAAAAAAACATACTCTTAGAATCGACTAAAATTAACTTACGACCAATCGTAATTCAACTCACAAATAATCGAATCGAAATAGCTCTACCTCAGTCTTACACCCCATCAAAATTTTCCAAACAAGTAAGGCACGTGTGCAGAATGTTGATCTAAACAAAATAACAATACCTTCATAGGAATAGCAGTTTACCAAAACGTCCAAACTCCCCAACAAGCGCCTTGCCCTCTCCAGAATTCTTACTCTAGTCGGAGTTGGACTCACTTATCCTCTAGCATCAAATTGCCCGTAATCAAAAGCTTGAAACCAACAATATTTTTAACCCCGAGATTATTGAGGAAGCCAACAAGGCCCGTGAGTAGTCCGATGAGAAGAACCAGTGTCCATTTAGAAATATATACTGAAAATTTTGAATCTTTTTCTAAGATCTCCAGTCCTGCTTAATGAGTTCTATTATAGTATCCTGCAAAAGCAGAGACAGGATCGAAGATAAATCAGCTTTCATCTGACTACTGCAATTATGTTTAGGATGGAACACAACCACAAAAATGCAGCAACAATCTTGTAAACTCTTACAACAAGAGATGCATTAACAGTTGACTATTCCAGGATGTGAACCAAATTTTACAAAATTTCCCACAAAATGTTAGACATGAATAAGATATGTGAAACCAGGGCCACCACCCGAAGTAACCTAGCTAAATCACGTAAAATTTTATTTAAAAAATCGCAACTACATGATGAATCAAAATTATGGTGAGGAAATTAGAAAATCAATCCAAGCTGACATCAATTAAAGTTTGAAGCACACATTTTCCCAACATATAATCGAGCTAAACCAAGAGACGAAAGCAGAGAGAAAAAAATAGAATCTTAGGTAAGTCGTATTAGTGATTGAGGGCCTCGATAGGATAAACCTTGGAGCCAACAATGGTGATCTGAGAATTGGCGTTGACTCTGCTTCTGGAGCTCAGCAGCGGGTCTCTCACGGCGCCCTCTCGCTCCCTAAACGACGATGCATGGCTCTCCCAAGCTGGACTTGAGGAGGGCGTCGAGCCTGCTGACGAACGGAGCACCAGTATGCTTCTTCACACCTTCGCTCGCCGGATAAGACTTTCTCGACGACTTGGTCCTCGTGCGTGCATTCTCAATCCCGTAAAATATGTGAGTTGTTGTATTTAATCATAAGACCAAGGGCCAATTGAACTCCTGCTTGCTGATTAGTAAATAATATATGAGCTCAAGACTTGGTTTGTACCCAAAATGTCATCATACTTTGATAAATAACTGAACATAAATGTGTTTAAAGAATGATTAAAAAAAAATATTGTAGCATTTATTGAACCTGCACAAATTTCCTGATTCGTTTTCACTTTCGAGCTGCGTGGTATAGTCCCAAGTAATCGAGAGCCGGCCGATTCCAGGACCAATCTTGCTCCATAACACGCTTACACAACAAATCGAACCACTCTAGTCCATCATACCAAGCAGATAGTGCTCTAACAAACAAATATAAACTCGTAAATAAGTCGATTAATTACTGCAACTCTCTTCTTTGGATAAAAGAAAATTACTAACGAATATCACGACGGTTTTTCAGGTCACGTAATTACTTTTATTTTGAAAAATTTACTGGTGATATGGGAGAAATTTTGTGTCTTGCGGTTTGACAAAAAATAAGTAAAAATAAATCACTTAAAGTCTATAAAATATAGAAATCGAGCCGCATTACCTATTCAAAGTATAATCTACACCAGCAGCATCTGCACCGTCGAAAGTACATCCATTCGGCTTAAGACCCATACTTGTGCTCTCTTTTTATCATGGTCAACATCGAACACAGTATCATATACACCTGCACCGACAAATGACAAATCACATAATTACGCTAAAAAAAAGGAAACAAAAACATAATCAATACAGGTCACTTTCAGCAGTGGTTTATTTTATGGGTTGCTAGAAATATGCGAGACATTTGTACCCATTAGCTATTTAGCTTCCTAATCAGAAACACACATTTACTTTTCTTCAAAATTAATAAATTGGTAGATTAGTTGTTGATTTAGCAACTTCTTTCGCCTAAGGCAGTAAATAAGACATATGCAGCAATGAAAGGGATACTCAAATTTACCTGGAGATAACTTACTTCCTGCATCGATGATGGTACTTGGACAGACGGAGCTTCTTCCTTCCCGCGGACCCGTCGCCACCGCCGTCAGCGAGCTCGACGCCATCTGGTCGTTGTTCTCCTCCCGCTCGCTTTCGCTCAGGCTAGAAAACGTGCTGTTGGACAACGCCGCTGCCATGACACTCCGACCGCCTCCCTGTGGCGGCGCACCTGCAGTGAGCCCACGCCGCTCATCGGCGCCAGAGTTGGTGGTTTCCCGCCTCCTTCCAATATCAAGCACCACCACTTGGCAAAGAAGGCGTGGAATAATTCCATCTATCGCGTATAGCGCAAAAATTAAAAACTCTAAATTCAAGCGAAAGGTCAGAGTTCTGAGACAGAATCTGTCCAGATCGAGCATCAGATGACCGGAATTAGAGCTGGAATTAGAGACGGCGGGCCATTGGTTTGGATATCTCTTTACTCCACAACGGGAACTCTACAAGACCTCGAAAGAGCAGAATAAAATCAGTCGCACAAAAACGGTGCATTTTCAGAGTTAGTCCTATATTGAAGGCAGAGAAAACTAAGAAAAGTAAAAAGCTTACAATAATACAGTTCAAGTAATCACACAATTCGTGTCACAAAATTTTTCTTTAAAAAAATAAATAAACATCATTGAGGCTACGAGCTCGACATACCAACAATCAAGAGCAGTTTTTTCATCCTAACATACGAAATATTCATATTCACTGCATTTTAGGGCCCCGGACACATTTTACACGACAACAATTATCATCATCGTTACCCATCGTTCATATTAGTGCAACTTTAATTATTTAATTCATTATTTTATCTTCAACTACAAACTTAGCAGAAGCGAAATGAATAATAAATTAGGTCCAAATATCCCCATGAGAATTGCACTGGTTATAACAAGTCCTAACTCTACAGGAACACGTACTATCGAACTCACGCCCTGCCCCAAATAAACAAGAAAATAAAAACAATAAATATAGAATATAGAAAACTGATGACACCTGTAAAACTGAGAATAAAAGAAATCTAATATAAAATAATCAGTAAAGACTCTAACTTCCTCATAAGGTACGACTTTATGCTACTTACTTAAACCAACTCAATCCATTAAGATGTGCAAAGTAAATATAGTTGAAACTTAACCTTGTTTAAAATAAAAAACAAATGGAGTGAGCATCCACTATCGAAATCCGTCTTTGATTCCACATATTCCAACAAAAATATTCTCAATACCAGTTCCAAGTATATCAGAATAGACAGGATTAAGAAGTGATGTCCAAGATACAACATATTATAACCAACAACGACAACAACGATGTTTCAGCTTCAGAATGTAAATTACCCTCGGCCAAACAATGTTTTCAGACAAATTCACATGTGGGGCCGATGAGCGTAAATATGCATAAAGACTTTTCCACAATCCTTCAGTTCAAACATTTAATTTTTTTAAAGGCACACAAAATATTTGTATTATTTGATTAAAAAATAGAATTTGCAATGAATATACCAAAATAGTCCTGTGTAGGACAAAAATATAAAAATTGAACAACATTAGAATAACTCCCTTTTTGCGAAAGAACGCACTTTGGAATTAGTGTAACCCATCGAAGCTGCCAAGGTTGCAGTCCGCCTCCTTTCCAGTTGGTCCGCTCTCCGCACATTTCCATAATCCTCTAGCAGTTTGTCAAAATCTTTATCAAGCAAAGTTGTTTGATAGGTTAAATTTAGAGAAATTAATGTTTGATAGATTAAATTTATAGAAAGTAATGTCAAATATCTAGGAAATATGTTATGAAAATGAAGGAAGATCTAAAGGAGTATATCACAACAATAAGAAACAAAGATTAAAACAATACAATAACCATCTCCCTGAAAAAAGTTTGTCGTTGGGTCATCATTTTTTAATATAGGATGTTTTGAGTAAAATTGTTTTCCGCAAATTAGTTTTTAAAATGTCTATCTATATGAAGTTTGGTTGAAGGAGCTTGATGTTAAATTCAAATTGCTCAGACGTGTTGACCTGAATGGTAGAAACACGGTGTTACGGATGAATATAGAAACAATGCAAAGTCGTCCACGTCAAAGATAAATGAATTTTGCAACATATATATAACCCTCTTAACACTAAAACCTTGAATGAGTGCATGCATCTGTTACTCCCCAAAAATTCTCGCGATCAAACTCGTCAAAAGTAAAACCAAAGGTTTTGTAATCTTTCTTTCTTGGTCCTTTTTCTTTTGGAATTTTTTTCAAAACCTATCTGCAAACAGAACCCTCACAAGGATGTTCCTGCTAAGACGCCGGCTCAGGATAGCGAAGGACTTCCTTAACCGCAATTTCAAAATCTACAAATACCAGTACTTCATGTTAATCAATGGTTTCAAGAATGTTAGTTCATCAAAATAGAAAATGCAAAAAGAATGAATAAAAAAAAAAAAAAAACTGCAAATTTGGAGTTGATGTCTCTCATATATTGACGGAGCACGTTTTTTCCTTTAACAATCTCCACTCGAGAAGAAGACGAAGGTGCGTACTGACCTGTTTTCTTCAGGCTGCCAGTTGAAGTCCGTCATGGCAAGCCCGATGTCACTCAATATTTGTATCTCCAGCAAGGATACATCCCATGATGGGCTCGATTCTAGTCATGAAGTCGAAATTTATGACCACCTGTGACAATAGGGAAGCAGAGTGGAGTAAGAAAATCTAAAGAAAAAAAAATGAAAGCCAGATCCGTCCATTTTTTGAAATGTTAGCTCATGATGCAGACCATGAAGATCTCGTGTGTTTCCAAATTTTTGCGAACTCCTAAATATACAGACCAATTAATTGGCACCAGTTCATTCAAGTAAACGATGCAGTTAAAAGTCATGAAATTTTCTCGTGACATCAGTACCATTACTTTAGCTCGAACAGTACAATATGAACCCGTGATAATGGTTAAATTTTGTTTAGCTCGAACAGTACAATATGAACCTGTGATAATGGTTAAATTTTGGTTAACCATATCAAAGTTAAGATCTCAAATTCAGTTTCAATGCACTCTTCCTATGTTTTTCTACTTCCTTTCCTTTTCCCCTAGTGAGATCTGCCTAAACTGAGCTATTTCAAATTCACATGCGTAGCTAGATTTGAATAAGCAAGAATGCTTCATTTAGATTTATTCATGCAAATCCCAAGATGCCATTAACTTGCATATCATCTAACAATTACTAAAAGTATATCCTTAATGTCCAGACAACAAGTTACCACATTAGCAACCACCAGTACGGGGCCATTCCAGTGCGAAACTGATAAAAAAAAACTCTCTCGCCCTGAGGTTTGTCTCCATGAATAGCAAGAGCCCCGAACTGCCGAGTTAAGTTAGCAACAAGTTGATCACATATTTTCTTTGTGGAGCAGAAAATAATAACTTTTGATCCAAGTTCTTTCCAGGCACCTCTTCTTAGCCATGGATGGAAACACTTCAACATACTGTAGAAGATAAACCATTATGTTATAACAACTTAAAAAACAAAAGTATAATGAATATGAATCCAGAAGAGATTGATCACCCGCGAATGTACATGGGTTATCATCTAGTTTGAAACAAGCTCATAGTCATTCCAATGTATATCTGAACATGGTTAACCAACAAATTAGGAATATGGAATAGCAACTACGACACCAACAATTCAAACTTAAGGTCTAAAAAAAGTATATGGTTCTAGGGAATATAAGTTGGCAACACCAAACTGGGAACCACTCCTCCACAACCCTACGCATGAAAAAGTTGTACATCATGATATTTCAAAAGCATATTGGAAGCTACAAGGAATTCAGGGTCACAATATAAAAAATCATAGGTGGAACTACAACTTTAGAGGCACTGTGATCCTATACTACTCAAACCACAACCGACATCGTATTTGCAAGAGCCAAACTACCCCCATTTTTATATCTTCAATATAAAAAAAAAAGCATATTTGAGACGCTCGTTCAGAAGAACACACGATGGGACACAGTAAATTAATCGAAAGCCCTTAAAACCCAAAAAAAAAAACAACGCACACACACAAACATAACATGTGCATCGATCAAACCCAGAAAGGGTCTAAAAAACGGCGCAAAAAAGGAGGGGAGATATGGCAATCTAGAATTTCATATATTGAACCGAAGAGAGAGGGGAAATGGAGTGAAAAGGAGGACGTGCGAAAAGCCATTTTTTCAGGTTGCTTTTTGACTAATGAGAAACGTGTGCAAGTAGCTCAAGAAGAAAGGGGTAAAAAGAGGGTAAAATAAAGGGGATTTCGCAGTGGCAACACTCGTAATAATAGCTGAAATTAGAGGCCAATTATGTTGGAACAAAATCGCTACGTGTCACACCCACAATCCCTTACATTTTTTCTTACATGTTAAGGGGAGATTAAGTCTAAAAGTGGAGAATTATTTCTAGTAATTTAGGAGGAAACAATTTCAATAACAAACAATTAGCCAAATATAAAAGTAAAGAGTTGAGTTTAGAAGAGCCTGAGTCGAAGCACGCCGAAGCTCTCTCATTAGAGAAGAAACGCCCCCACTGCACCGGTAAGTTGATAACACGTTCTTCTCCCAAAATTCGACAACCCGATGGTACTCTCGTGTGCAGAGAACCACGAACCACAAATTACTCGTGCTCAAAATATATATATTATATTGTAAGTTTATTTTGAATGAGGCTAACTTAATATATGAATATATATAAGGGTGTAAATCTTTTTCACCCCGTTATAAATTTATTATTTCTTTTACACACCGCCCCATCAAATAATTTCTTTGCACCCCAAAACTCACGAAATGCTATGCGATATTACACTCTCATGTCCAAATGAACCAGCGCATATCCAATTGGTCGCATAATTTATGACTATGCGTAAATATTTCGCATTTTTTTAATCGCATATCCACATCAAACGCATAATTTACAAATGTGCGAACATCTTTTGCATTTTTAATAATTGCATATACAAATCGATTGCAACATAATTTACGATGATTATGCGCCTTCTTTTCGCAGGGCTATATCAACCTTGCAAATTTATGACTGCGAAAATATTTCGCATCTAATTCGCATAGTTTGTTGAATACGCATTTTCTGGTAATTGCATATCCAAGTCAATCGCATAATTTACTAATATGCGAAACAATTTCGCATCTATACTCCGGATAATTGACAATTATGTGACATTTTTTCGCTCGCATATTTAAGAATCGCATAACCAAATCGAATAAAGCATATATTTTTGTACGATTATGCGTCATTTTTTCGCAGGGCCTCATCGACCTGACAATTTTACGACTATATAGAATTCATTAGCAAATCTTTCGCATAAGTTGCGCACCTCATTAATTGACTGCTTTTTCACAGGTGAGGATTTGGTCTCTGCATTTATCATGTAGGCAAAAAAACAGTGACCTCTAACAATTTAACGCTTGCACCATTCA